GAAATGTAGTTTTGCTAGCAAAGTGATCGAGATTATAGAAAGGAGGTGGAACACCAAATTTGGACGTCCAATTCATTATGCTGGTAAATATATATTTATATCATTACAATGTTTCTATTTTAAATCATTTTTTAATGAAATTATAAATGATATTTTTCTATTTATATATTTTGTAGGTTACTACTTCAACCCAAAAATTTTCTATTTGATACCTGAATATCCCTATAAGATTATGGAAGGGGTCAGATACATTATTACAAGGTTGCAGAGAAGCCATCGAAACTAAGTAGCAGCAATACAAGAGGTATTATTTAATGTTTGGGTAAGAACTTCATTGAGTTGTTATATTTGTGAGGAATAATGCGCTAAAACGAAATACATTTGTTTTAGCTTGCTATGTATAGGGATGCTATAGGATTCTTCAGAACTAGACTTGCTAGGAATTCTCGAACTATGATGGATCTAGGTTATCCTCTCGCTAATATTTTGTTCATTCATATATTTAATCTTATGAATTGTTCTTGCCCTTATAATGCTTTTTGCATTTTAATCCAGCTGAATGGTGGGAGATATATTGGTACTGATGCACATCACTTAAAGATGATAGCAATCAAGGTGCTCTCCCAGACATGTTCTGCTACTGGCTATGAGCACAACTGGAGTACGTATTAATGGTTGCACACTACTAGGAGGAATCGACTTGCTTCTGAGAAGCTTTATAAACTAGTGTACGTTCATTATAATTTAAACCTCCGAGAGCGACAAATAAAAAGGAAGCTTGAAGACTATGGGCTGATAGACTTAGACATAATATTTGTCACAGACACAGCAGACTAATGGGTAGTAAAAGAGGAGGAGCCAGTGTTGCACAAGAGAGCGTTCCTTGAGGCTATCAGTGAGGAAGATCTTGAAGAAGGTGATGAACAACATGAAAGAGGAAGCAACCAGCCAACGTATCCACAATTCGTCGGAGATGTCGGTGATATTGCACCTAATGAGGGAGAGCGAGAAGGGGGTTTAAGAGAAAATGAGAGAGATGATGATTCTGAGGCCATCAGCAACAGTGTAGGGATGAGCACGACAGTGTAGGTGAACATGAAGGATGGACAAGCTTCGGGGATTTTGGATTGGGAACACAACAAAACACTAACACTCGGGGATTTGGGTATAGTCAGACGCTTGCTAATATCGATGATTCGTTTTTAGATCGAATCAATGAATTGTTAAACGAATTCAATCAATGGCACCAATGTGACCAAGAAGAATAACAAGGTCGTCTATCATTTTATTTTTAGATCTTATGTTACTAATTGTATGCTTTATTGTAGTCCATGTATGTTGATATACTTATTCCTTGATAATTCTATGTTTATCTTTTTGTGTGATGTAAATTAAATGCTGAATAGTAGTTCATGCAGGGAAAAAACATATTAATATTCGCATATTCATATAAAAATATGAAAATTCTTAATGGAGTACCCTCATTTTTTATTAAATTCCTAAAAAAAAATATTTATAATAAATTTTAATAATTTTTTCGAATTTTTTTGAAACTTTATTCTGACCGATTCACCTGATTTTCGATTCAAATCGCCGATTGACCGATCCAGATCTATTTTTACAGTGCCCGATCCGGGTCACCGATTCAGGTCACCGATCCGCTTTTTAAACCATGGCTCTCGAATATACTACATAAAGGATTCGCTTTTACATTTTAGCTAGGGACTTGAGAAGTCACCCCGGCGTTCCATTTTATGAAGTCCAACGAGACTCTCGGCATTTTGCAGGTACCGCGCGCACCCCCCTAACCGAACCGGGAGATCTCCATTAAAACTCCTTTCTCTACCCAAGGAATGCTGTACGTCTTTCATTTCCTCCTTTCTTCTTCAATCTATTGATTGTGCGTCTCTAGGCTAAGGTTTTCTTTTCCTCCCCTTTGTTTGGTTCTACTTGGTCCGTATTTTCTGCTCCTAGAAATGAATCTAATGTGAGAGAATCTAGTGTGAGAGCATTCGGATTCCAATTGATCGGCGCGACTTGAATAGATTTAAGTGCCTTAATTCTCAGCTTTGGGGCATTTTTCGAGGCTTTGTTTCGATATTCTCTCTTTCATTTTCTCCGTTGAAATTTTGATGCAGAAGAGTTTCAGGGATCTGTATTAACTTACATCTTGTTTTCGTGGCGTGCTACTTTTTTTTTCTATAATATGGGAATTGGTGGGCTAATTGTGCTCAAGGAACTGAAAGAAAACTTGGTTCTGTAACAGTGTGAAGAAATGATAAAATCGATATATGATTCTTGATAGGATGGTTCATTTTATGCGGTCCATAGCTGACTGATTGGATGTGGGGCAATCTCTTGTTATTATTTGGGTAATTTATGTTTGAATCATTTTATCTGCATAGAATATAGGGTGCTTATGGAGTACTATTCTCTCTCAAGCTGCGTTGTAAATACATTTTTCCAGTGTTACACTGACGAGAACCTGGTATTAGAAGTGATGATTACATCATTCATTAATTGACAAAACATAGTTTGCATCAGTTATTATTAAATGTTTTTTGATATTGATCATCATATGTAACCACACTTCTTTGACCTGTTTGTCTCATGACTTTTGTGAACTGTGGCTATTCTGGTGCAGGACTTGAAAGCCTATTTCATGAGGGGCTGTCTCCCTGTGAAGGCAATTGTTATGAAGTGCTTGAGTAATATTTCATGTCATGGTTGAGTATTGTAGGATAATTTTTGAAGCGTGGGCTCTTAGTCGAAGATGAGGCGGTGCATCTACATCAATGATAGTGACTTGACTTTGGATCTTTATTGTGACAACCGAATATCAAACAGAAAATATACACTGTTGAATTTTCTTCCAAAAAATCTATGGGAGCAGTTCAGGTGATCCTTGTTGCTTTACTCAATGATTATGTCACTCCTGTGATTCCTATGCAGTTAAAGCACAACTGATATACAATCTCGTTAACATTTGGAAAGTCCATTTTAAATATCATTAGATCATCGTAGAATCATTGCTTTATGGGTTTGTGAGATTTAAATTTTGAAGTCTAAAACTTTTGTTTGAACAAGTCACTAGAACTCAACCTAGAATATCACTTTCTTTACAAGTTAAACGAAAACATCTAGATTTAGTTTATTGGAGGACTTATCGTAATGTGAGAATGAAAATTACAAAGAGCTTTCAACCTTCTTATTTCTTTTTGTTAGGAATATAACATTTTTGATAGAGGAAGACATTTGAAACATGTGTCCTACCCAACTTCAATAAAGACTGGATGTGTAACTACCTTTGGGAGGCCGGTTGTTAAGGATATTTCTGGCTGAATATCAGGAGTTCTATTGAGTTCAAAATACTAGAGGGCGGGAATTCCAAATTCTTGTGCCGGAAAAAGTTTGGGAATTGGCTAGAAAATTGTGGTATTCTGAGATGAAATAAGATGATTAAAACTTTTGCAAAGACCAGAAAATGGGGAGAAATCAGAGAGAGAGAGAGTTTACAATTGATGGGTGCTCTGTTAGCCAATACATTACGAAGCTATGGTTGAAGAATCCGTTGATGCCAAATTCCAACAAAACTCTGATTACTTTCCTGCAATAAGCAGGTCCCAATTTGTTTCTCTTCTATTTTTCTGGCAGTCTTGTTCACGGCATTCTGGCCATTGAACTCTTTTCAGCAATAACTAGGTGATTTCTGCCAAATCAAGTCTGGAAGAGATTGGGCTGATATTTTGGGTACTTGGTTTAGAATGAGAAAGAGGGGACCCAGGGGGGATTGCGAAATTGGTTTTCTTCTTTTTAGTCACTATTTTTCTCTTTTTTATTTTTTTAAGGGAAGAATAGTAATTTTACAATGAGCTTTTGGTGTCCTTGGCCAAAAATTTAGACCTGGAGGCAAAGGGTGTCCAAGTGGCAGGGCTATTTAGTCCATGTGTATGGAGGGAGAGGCTCATCCTTTTCCCTTTGAATTTCTGTTCTTTTTGCATTATAGCATAATGTATCAGCCAGACCTGTGGTGAAGTTTGTAGTTCATGAAAGGTGGTTCGCTTACTTAAGATTATGGCTTATAATAATTGAACATAGCATGCATTGGAATCTCCTGAAATACTTCAGAAATTAACAGTCATCGGCTTCAAATGTATGATAATGTTTTGTTGACTACTTTGGTTAGAGGAAAAGTTTCTAGGATCAATGAATATGATCCCATTCAGAAATCTACGAAATCCTTCTTGTTGCCTAAACCATTTTTCTTGTGTTAATATGGCATCTGGTGGATCCATGACCATAATGACATATATTAAAAATATCAAGGACATTATGGCTGGACTGTATGGCGAATGCAAACTTAGATTTTCTTCAGAATGTTTTCTTTCTCTTATGCTGTTAACGATTTTTTGGATTGTGCATTGTTTCATTTTTGTGTTGCATTAATTGCTTGTTGCAGTTGACCTCATTTATCTGTTGGGTAGTTGGACTTTGCTATCCTTGAGTAATTCATAAACTGTGCATGATTTCTGTGTATGCTTGCGCTTACATTTGGGGCAGACATTTGGGTTGGATGGATATTAGGAAATTGATGATTTTTCTCTAAAAAGAATGTTCTTATGGTACTTATTATTTGACACCTGCCTCATAGTGGATCATGCATGGTGTGCCCTTAAAAATAATAGTTTTAAATAACACTCTTTTCTTTGTGTATACCAGTCGGTTCATGAACAAGTACTTCCTGCTGATTGCATGCCTTCAATTATGGCCGCTTATAACACCTGTCAATCCTGCAAGTACATGGGGTCCACTCATCTTTATATTTGCAGTCTCAGCCACAAAAGAGGCCTGGGATGACTACAACAGATATCTCTCCGACAAGCAAGCCAATGAAAAAGAAGTATGGGTTGTAAAGCAGGGAACTAGAACACGTGTATGTATCTTTTTCCTGTACTTACTCTGTTATTATCTCCTGAATAATCAGTTGGGGTTCCCCAATGGATACCTTCGTTCAGATATTTGGTTATGGTGGCAATGTTTTGGTATTTAGTGTTTTTGTATTCAAAAGACTATGGTGTTGTTACTCATTGGTTTGGTTACATTAACATTTGTTTCAGTCTTCTGTATACGTACCATTTTCTTCCCTGCTCTCATATCCTTGATGTTCTGTGAAATTAAAACTCTTAATACCATACTGTGTTATTTGCCATAGTTTCATGATATTAGCATTATGAAAGTTAAAGCAGCAACATGCTAAGCTCATTGGAATTCTTTGGATCAGTAATTTCATTTCTGGTGCAAGGCATTTTATGATTGAAAGTTGGATAATTGGAGATGTATTCGACTGTCATGTTCCTATCTCTTAATTTTGGATATTTGGAATACTTTGTGTTTAATTCCATTTATATGCTTCATCCCAAAATTGCATTGCTTTTACCTAACAAATATGAACTTACTTGACCCCAATGTGATGATTCTCGCTGATCATAGTTCTAGGTGGTTGCTTTGTATAAAATCAGATGGTCGATTATGTTAAATGATGAAATCAGATGGTCAATTATATTAACTGAAGTGAAGGTTTCTCTGACATTAGAGAAATGCACATTGTGCCATTCAATGAAAGCCACTTTGTAAATTTAGGAGAAACGGGAGTGAATCCACTCTACTATACTTGGAATATAGTTTATGGGCCAGAATTATGCAAGTTCTTTACCCTTTACACTGTGTCCAATGATTATTTTATCCTTGAATGGTATCTTTGTGTGCTTGTTCTCTTGGAAGTCCTCTTTAGTCTTTTATATAGCTGTTATAAAAATGCAATAGGAGGATGGAACTGAGCAGAGGGCATTGAGAATCATGGCCTGTTATCTTGTTTTATGAATTTCTGCCAAGCCATGTGACTGTTTTTTGAAGATGTAGTTTTTTTGAAGTGAGTGACACTTTTTCATGTTAAGAGCATCTATATGCATTCATTTTGTTTTCTGTTTCTGTTGTTTTCGAACTATTTAATTTCGGTACTCTTGTTTAATGTATGTTTACATACTTCTTCACTCGTAGTGTGGAATCTACTCTCATACCATTGACAAATTTTCCTCTTTCTAGGTTCAAGCGCAGAACATTCGTGTTGGCAACATAGTATGGCTACGTGAGAATGATGAAGTTCCATGTGATCTTGTTCTTATTGGTACTTCTGATCCTCAGGGTGTATGCTTTGTCGAGGTGAGTATAGTTGAATAAACTACTTCTCCTTCTGATTTCATCATGAATTTTGAATGAAAAAACTTATGCTAAAATTTATTGAAATGCATTCCAGGCGAAATTTAGTTGAAAGATGTAAGAAATATGTTCTCTGACTTATGTCATGCTATATAATCTCCATCGAGCAATTCTGAACTACCCTGCGGCCTTCTGTTCATGTTTGTAGTTTCCATTAGAATTGATGCTATGCATCTGTGAAGAGTCACCATCTACGGCTTATTTGTATGCCAATCTGATGAATTCAATTGCCTTTCTTTCAAAATTTGACTGTTGAAGATTCTTGTATTTTCTTGTTGCTGATAGAGTTCTTCAACAGTATTATCTTGTGAATATTGCTTCCAAGCACTTCTATTTTGATAAAACGTCTTCATCTATGCATTACAACTCAAATTAGTTACGGTAATGGAGTGCTGGAGTCCAGACATGAGATCTATTAATCATAAATATCTTATATTGTTTGTCATGAGGTTGGTGTTGTGGATGAGCAATAGTCACTATTTTCTTCTCTAGTAATGTTATGTGTGGTTTTGATTCATATAATACATTTAAGCACCTATGCATGTCTGTAGCGTATGTGCAAGGACTTCGTGTAGGTATTTGAGGTTTTCGAGCTAGGAAGGATGTGAACCGACAAAGGTCAAAACATCATGAACTGTTGCCATGCCTTATCCCATGCCCATCTGTATCATATCCTGTTGACACAAATAAACATATGCCTTGGTTGTAGACTGCTTCCTTGCTCACAGACAAATCTTTGATTCTGCTCTTTCTTCGTGCTTTGTTGGACTGGCATACTAAGTGCTTGAAGCTAAGCTTTCAAATATGATGTGCTAAGAAAATAATCATTGAAGTACGTTATAAGGTTCTAATTTCTGGACCATGAACTATATGATTACTCCAAATTGGGTCAGCATGGCTTTCATGGATCAAAATAAGTGCTTATAATGCTCATTATTCTAAAAAAGAGTACAGGAAATGTGCCATTACCCATTTGAAGTGTTTGGATATAAATTCTGAACTTGCAAAAGAATTTTAGGGATGGGGTTGAGGTCAAGATGGTAGCACCACCAGTGACTCAGCTACTAGTCTCGGTTTCCGTTCCTACCAACAAAATACTAGGAATTATTTCAAAAATTGCTAACGCACTACTGACAGTTAATGTTCAAAAAAGAAATTGCAAAAAAAATTTGGTTATTGCGGCTGAGACATTGCACATTTTTATGCGATAGATGTTTATGTGATTTTATTTCTGTGCATACTGCATGTCTTATACACAAAGAAAACAGGGCCTCTAGACAATTTTTCAGATAGATTCTGGCATTGTGTGCTCATATCATGGATCCAGGATACTGTATGTGGTATAATTGGGCTATTTGGATGGGAATGGAAGTACATTTCTGGTGTTTTGTGCATCACATGACTTGCTTTTTAAACTAACAATCATAAGTTAGCAATTTTATCCTAGTGCTGCTCAAGTAAACTGTGAATTTTATAAAAATCTGGTGACGGACCCCTTCAAGAATAGTGCAGACTGCAGCCCTTGATGGTGAAACTGATCTGAAGACACGGGTCATTCCTTCTGCATGTGCGGGAATTACATCTGAATTGTTGCACAGAATTAAGGCATGCTTTTTTTGGTCAAATAGCTTGAGTATTTGCTTTACCTGTGATTTGTTTGGTTTCCTCAACTGGGAGTGTTGGTCATATTGATAACTCATAGTTTTATTTCTTTTGACGTGCAGGGTGTCATTGAATGCCCTTATCCAGATAAGGATATTAGAAGATTTGATGCTAATATAAGGCTCTTTCCACCTTTTATAGAGAATGATTTGTGTCCCTTAACAATCAATAATACATTGTTACAATCTTGTTACTTGAGGAACACGGAATGGGCATGTGGAGTAGCTGTTTACACAGGCAAGTTCAGCACTACATCTTATGCAATCTTGTTAGATTTCTTGGCTATCTAAAAATCATTGGTATGCTTGACAGTAGGAAGTAGAATGTTGGTTTGAAGTTTGGGTTTTGTTTACATATTAGAAAGATGAATTATGTTATTTGAATGTAAACCAAATGGCATGTGCAAGATTTTGCTCCTGGGTATTTTGTTGGTTTTTGTTTACTCATGGATAATTCTGTTGACACTAAGGGTGTGTTTGACGCGTGGAGTTTTTGGGAGTGTAATGGAGTCTCCCACAATTATGGAAGACCACCCTTCCATCATTTTTGATGGAATGGCTGTCTTCCAAAACTGGGCCCATTTTAATGCTAAAAAAATACTGAATGGAAGGCCGCCCTTCCACTTTGTGGCTTCGACGCAGTAATATCAAATGTGGAAGTGGGGCGTTCGACGCCCACTTGTACTTTCACTCTCATTTTGGAAGTGATGTGTTTCTTGGCAGATTTGGTTTAATATATTGCAATGACAACATAAAACCATTCTGATCTGCAGGTAATGAGACAAAGTTAGGCATGAGCAGAGGCATACCTGAACCCAAACTTACAGCTGTAGATGCCATGATTGACAAATTGACAGGAGCAATATTTTTATTTCAACTGGTAGTAGTCATTGTTCTTGGGATAGCTGGCAATGTTTGGAAAGATACTGAAGCTCGCAAGGTTAGTTTCATATTTCAGTTGAGAATCTATTTCATGGTTTATTTATCGCACTTCTCGTAGTTGGACATCATGTACATGGTGTAGATAGAGAGCTGTAAGCAGGAACGCACTCGTTCCACAAACATCTATAACTTCCCGTCTGTAGATTTTATGAAAGACACCACATGAGTGTGTACCATTAAGGAATAAGTTGGCATCCTGACATGCCACAGTGTAGTAATAAAAGTAAGCTATATAACCTTAAATTATACTTTTGAAATTGGTACATATCTTACTAATTGAAATTATTTTTACTGATACTTCACTTGCTTAATTTATTTTAGTTCACATGGTGCCAGGGGCCAAATTTTCATCTTTTACTTGTATATCATTTGTTGTTCAGGAGGATACTTGTCCAGTTGGGGGGGGGAGAGGGGATCAGACCCCCCTTTTCCTTATTTCTCCTCATTTCATCATCAGAACGAGCCGGAATTTTGGCTGTAGGGTAACTTTTGCATGATCTATCCATTGAATAGATCAGATTGGACAAAAAAAAGAAAAAAAAAAAATCAGATTTTTCAGTTTTGAGAGGTTCAATGTTTCGACTTTTATTCTGGCTAAATTAAAAAATTTACAATTTGTTCGCAACTTGATCTTGGATGAAATTGTTCTTGAAGCCTATTGTGTTGTATTCTTTATGGAGTCATAGGCTTCTCTCTCACAGAAAACCACTAAAAATAAATATGAAATTTGTGAGATTTCTACTTCAAAAATGCTATTCACCCATGAAATCTCAAGAGCTCGGATCAACTAGATCTGAACTCGCACCCCAAATCGGGCGGGGGGTTTCCATTTGTGTTTATTCGCACTGAGCACAAAGAATGAAGGATTGGCTTCGAAATTTTGTGTAACTTCTTTTTTTTCAATTTCAATTCATATAATTGATTCGATTTTGATTTTAAATTCATTTTTCATGTTGTATATACAGTTTATTTCTTTCATTTTCCTTAGTGTCTATGAATTGTTGATATTTTTTGGAATGTTTTAATGCCATCTTGACTAATTCGTGGGAAATTGAGTGAGTCCCAAGTGGAAGGGCAAGCTGACTTTCTCTTGGCTGATACTGAGTTCTGGAGTGAGTCTGATTTTGCCAATCATGCTATCAAGAAAACAAGATGAAAATGATGTCCTTAAGGATTCTAGATAGGTCTTGGGCTTTGGGACGTTTCAAATTGAAAGTGTTATTATTTATTAATATATCATTCTAATCGCACTTTGGAATTTGATTCTTTTTGAATATGTGAAGCATAGTTTTTGGGATTGGGATCGGGAATGGGGGGCTTGTGAAAGGCTTGAAGAACCCTGTGGTTGGAAGCGCCTGTACAATACGTATTTTAGGGATCAAGTACCAGATATTAGGGGTCTTGATCCCAATCTTTTCGGATAATCTTGAAACCTTTTGGGATCTCAATGTCAGCCTTTGGGGATCTTGCTCACAACCTTAAAAGAGTATATATAGTCTAGGAGTATATATATTCTTTAAAGTAAGGATCTCTTATTTAGATCCAGCAAGCAATGCAAGTATACTATGCAACGACACTAAAAGGATAGTTGCATTTCTAGCTGGCTATAAATTAAGAAAATTATCTATTTGCTTGTTATCTTAGTCTTTGAGGTGGGATCGAGGTCTTAGAAGTTAAAAAATAGAGAACCCTTGAAGATACCTTTCTTGGAGCGAGATCTTAGTGTGGGATTGACACCAGGGCCTATAAAGATTATTTGTCTGGTCCTATGAATGGTGGGTGTATCACCCATAGTTCGTCATTATGTTTCTTGCTCATGTTTGGAGCTGCTAAAAGTTAGTGATTGCAATTGAAATGACCTATTGGTAATATCTTACTTCTTAAGAGTGAAAAACATGTGAAATTTAGCACTCATGCAACTTATGATTGAGAAGTCCGGCATGCACTTGAGGATCTGCCAATTGCTAAACAGAAATTGTTACTTTGCTGAACCTTTATTCATTTGAAGAAATGAGAGGACAAACCTTGAATGTTCCATGGAGAAAAGGCCTTCGAGGAAGGCCATTAGTTGACATATGATTTGCTATTATCGCTAAGTGAATTTATCTGATTTGTTAGCCCCTATGGGGTACAGTAAAACTTATGTCATCACATGAGTTAAACAGAGGCTGAAGCTTCTAATGGTCACTGACGGTTAAAAAAGATGGGAAAAGGATGCCCAACCCCTCCCCATAAATTTGCACCCAATTAAGCCCTTGTGTCCACGACAACCCTTTGGACTGCCTCTAACTTAAAAAAAATGAGACATAAACCCCCTTGTTGCTTTTTCTCCTCTCTAAATTTCATCTCTCTCTCTCTCTCTCTCTCCTATCTTTTACCTAGTATCATTATCGTCCAAAAGAAAAAATAACCCTTCCAGAACCAACCTCCTAGGAACCCCCCATTCCTCCCTTCATCTACTCTCTCTCACTCTCTCTACCCCTTCCCAACTCTCTTCCTCGGCCATAGATAAAGGGGTGATCAAATCCATTGGTGGATGTGAAAACCAGGGTTTCCTTCCTTTCATTTCTAAATCGTTGAGAACCAAAGAAGATGAGGAATTAGTTCTTTGATCAAAGACAGAAATTGCTAGGGTTTGAGGAGAAGCTCCAATGATGAGATCATGAAAGCCCCAACCTTTGCTCACATTTCTCAGCAATTGTATTGTCACGACCCCGCCCCCTGACCCCTACCGTACTAGCCTGAGGGCAACAGAGTGCAGGACCGTGACTGGAGGTAGTGAATGCCACTCAGGAGTGAGTGCGCTCAACGCTTTTATAAAGACGGAATCAAAGCAAACCACGAAAGAAAACAAAATCCCAAGCACAAAGGTACAAAGATTTGGACAAAATAAAATCAATTTATATATATATATATACAGGTTCCAAAATTTATTTATAATCATGTCCAAGGCACTACAGGCCCTACAACAAAATACAAGACTTCAAAACAAAACAACTATATGGCCACCACCAACAGCCACCTACACTCAAGATAAAGCTTTTCTTGCCAAGTCCGAAATTTCAACTGCCAGCCACGTGTGCCCAACCACCCGTTCTCAAAACCCGCAGGCTATCACTACTCTACATAGAAAAAATCAAAGGAGTGAGCTATAAAGTTCAGTAAGCAGATCAAACATCATGTATTCCAGCCTATACATTGCTATTCACAAACATCCCCCAAGATTCATGCAGGTGTCATAACATGGAGTTATGTAACACAATTCTTTAGTAATGGTGGAAGAAATGTAAATCGGATATCAGAATATCATACATCACATGAGCTAACGGACTACCACATCTTTTCATCAAAATAACAGAATAGTAACGTAAGCAAAACACATAGTGCATACAAGCAATCCTAGTGTCGCCTACTCCCGAAGCAGAAGTCAAGCCAATCCCGTTACTTGGGACTTCTACCGAGACTCATGAGGGAAGACAATAACAAATGGAAAGGTTATAACCCTTTCAAGAAAGGCATTGCTATAAAAAAGGCCAATCAGGCGGAGACGTCGTCGTCCTCCTGCCTCTCCCCCCCCCTTCAACTGGAACCTTATATACGACCTCTACCCCAAGCCATCCCGACATGCTCCCCTTCCCCTTACCAGGCCGCAACCCCCTCTTCGTGCGTTTGGCTCCTCCGTCTCGAAGGAGAAACTGGCCCCTCCACCCACCTCTTTGCAGGAGGTTTCAGCGGCAGTGGACCCCACCCCCTCTTTCCCCTTTTCCTATTGATAGGTAACTGCTCGCCCCTTGTCTTCCCCTGCTCCCATAGCATCTCCCATGGCCTCAAAGGGGCCTTCTTCCCCCCCCCTTTAGGGCTTCCCCGTTTTACCCTTTCTTTGTCTCCATCCCCCTTGAAGAGTCCTCCCTTCTACAATCCAAATATCTTGTCTCCCTGGTTGGTACATTCCAGCCCTCACGAGACGATGCAAGAGGAATAGAAAAATGGTCACAAAACTTTTGGCAGGACCCTAACATCACAGCCAGGCGCCTTTCTGGTGGTGACTTTCTTTTCTCTTTCCCGTCCACAGAACTTGCTCGTCAGGCGCTACAGAACTCCAACTCTTTAGCCTTCAAAGGGGCTATCCTCCGTCTTCAAGCTTGGACCCCTTTGGAAGGGTCCTTTAGAAAGCGCAAAATCTGGTTCACTCTTCATCACTTGCCCCTTCATGTTTGGTCTCCGTCCACTTTTCGGAGTGGCAGAGGCCTGTGGCTGTCTTATTTCCATCCACTGGAAGTTCATTGAAACCCTTTTGTTTGGGTCCATCCGTCTTCTGGTAGAGGTTCTGGATTCAAAGCTCATCCCACCTTGTGTGTGGATCGAGGCTGATAACCTCTTTTACCCTATTTCTCTCTCTTGGTCAGAGGCTTCCCCCCCCTCGGCCTTTTTTCTCAACTACCGGCCGTCTCTCGCGGCAAAGGGCCCTTCACTCTCTTCTTGGACCACTGTTTCCTGGAATCCAAGCCACCACCAGTGGCGCCGCCGATACCAGACCCATGGCCCCTCTTCAGTCGTGGGCCGCGTTGGGCTCGGTCCTCCTGCTTGCCCCCAACTCTCCACCTGGCGACCACTCGACGCCTCCCTGGTTCCCCCTGCAAAAGCCAACGCCAGTACGCTGAAGCCACAGCTTGGCCTTGAGCCCACCCCCTCTGGCTCTTGTCCCAAAGGTGACGGGGTAGCAGAACCCGATGGGTCCCCCCCTGGGTCTGCCGGCCCCTCCTCCACACCGACCCGGGAAGGAGGTAATTGTGCATGGTGACCATCCTTTCCCCCCTGGGCCGTCTGGCTGCGCTAGTGACCTGGTTTCCCCTTCGAATGGCCTTTTGGGTTCCTTCCCCAGTAACTTGACCCTCATCCCGAGAGTCCCTACCGAGGCTCCAACACCTATCCCCGCTCTCTCTGCTCACCCCTGCTTGTTGCCACGCACGCTCGACTAGCGGTCAATGGCCTTGCTGT